GGGTGGGGTGGGGGGGAGGTTGCCCGAGTAGACAGCATGTGTGGAGTTGATATAACCTGAAAGGTGAATATGGGCTTTGCGAAGGAACCAAATGTCATAGAGGAAATGGTCAAGCTTTTCAAACGATCGAGAAATCATGAACAGATTGTTATCCTCTGATAGCTTCGCAAAAGGGAAAATGGTACTGCCGTAGATGAAGATATGCCTTGAGAATGCAGACTGTTGAGATGTAGGAAAGTCATTGCTGCATGCATCGTCTACGGACAGACGTCTCAGGGGGTTCATCTCCTGAATGCTGCACCCTGGTGATGTTTAAAGGGGTGCAAACGGTGTGTGTTTGACCTGAAGTGGTCACTTTGTCATGGAATTTTTAGTTCTGATTCTCTACAGGTCCTAACTGATGGACCATTTTCACCCTTGGCATCAAATAAGTCCTAAAGGGCACGTTAACATTATTTCCCTACCTTGTGCGAAACTTACGAAATGCGTTGGTGGTTAGGAAATGTTCAATACAAAAAGCTCTCTCCATGATGTCTGCAGGCAAAGGAAACTTGGAAAAAACTATCTGCAAACTTCGGCGCAATCGTTGGGATTTTTAGTGGTACGCCTAATGTAAACTAGTGCGCAATTCTACAAAATGGGGACAGAGCTGAAAATGTTTTTTTACGCGCTACGTAGAGCAAAACTATTTGGTCGATTTATCTGAAACGAATATCAGACACATTCCTTTTGACTTCCAAATTTTGAAAAGCAAAACTTCAGTGTGGAGGAAAATATTTGTAAAAACAAAAATGTAGTTTTTTTTATCACCCTGTAGTTAGGCACCACAGCAGATGCCGGTCGACCAACAGAGAAAAAAGTGTTGGAAGAAATTATGCACCGTGCATACATGTGATATCTGAGCTCAGATGTATGCTACTTGCTACTTTGGGTTAGATGTTATTATTTAGTCTAGTTGTGCTTATGGTAGTGCTATCATGACGACATGACAACGTCGATAAAACTTTTGTTTCTGTCTTTGTAATAATTATTGTGCTCAGTGATGGGACGGGTGGTGGTGCAGTCTAAAAGCGGGTTAGAGGGAAGGGGTCAGGGGAAAGGAATGTTAGTTACCCAGTGAGGAATATATCGTTATTGTTGACCTTTATTAATTGGTATTCAGATGATTACGTCCCTGGGAAATACTACTTTTCATACAATTAAAAAGATTCGAAATCGTAGCAGTTTCCAACAAGTCACGGTCATTACCTTCTTATTTTCGAATTGCAAAAAGTTTAAACTGTGATTCTTCACCAAGCTGACATATTTTTGGGTTATATACACCACATCAGCAACGAAAATGTATGAGAGTTTATCTTGGGTTACATGTGTCAAGACAAAAGTAAAAGAAAAGAATTACCTGGTTGTAGAAGTTTTTGAAGAAGTCATTTTAGCTTCCATTCCGTAGAATGAATTCAAAGGAACATAACAGCCTATAATATACCACAAAATATTGACTCTTTAATGTTCCATGGCAAAACTTACATTTGGCTATATGCACTCGGAGAGAGATGTTAGTACTGAAAACTATGACAACATAAAATCTAAAAGGAAAAGTATAACCATAATATATAGCAAAAGACGGTAATTTACTTTAACCCTTGTCTGCTTTACCCTGCCTAGCGAAACTAGCGTTTGTGGTGTAGCTATTAGACGCTTCGCCGTCACACACGGAAAAGTTCGAATTCTGTAGAGCTACGGTGAAAATTTTTTTGTAGACTTTCTCTCTCTTATTTTTCTTTTTAACCATTCTCGGTTGTTTTTTCTTATGGGATTTATGTTTCCATCTCAGCCCGTATTCGCTCTGACAAGCGAGGCCAAATTCCGCTTCTAAAGTGATCTAAAATGTGTCGAAAGGGGAATAAAAAGATAAAAAAGTACATGAAAAACCTCAGGGCACTTTATGTCAACAGTTAATGAAAATGTTTTTTTCCTCAAAGTTAACCTCCTCACCCCT